GTGTCTGTGTATGTCTCTATGTTTATGTGTGTGTGTCTCTGTGTCTTTGTTGTGTATGTCTATTTTTTTGTTTCTAAGTGTCTGTGTGTATATCCGTGTGTGTATGTCCTGTGTCCGGCAAAAACAACCCCCTACCTCCTCGTTGGTGCCGGACAGCAACGCTGTGGTGGGCAGTGCCGTGGGGGAAGGGCCAATTTAGATTGGCCATTCCTCTCATAGCGTTTGTAACCACCACAGCGGCTAAATGGGGGCTCTGGACGGGTGCGAGGGTCTGGTAACCCCTTCACCTTCAATTAATTACGATTTAAATGTTTTATTAAGCTTGTGCCAGAGGCCCCGGGGGGACAAGCGTCTATGACGTCTATGGGCCAAACCTCATTTGGCGGAGCCAGGATAGTGAATCGTTACCCTCGGAGCTCCTCTAGAAACAACAAAAAAACACCACTGGTGGCCACGTGGAATGTTCGAATGCTCACTGTGGAGGAGAAGCTGCCACTCCTTTGTTGGGAGCTGGACCGGTACAGCCTGGATCTCTGTGGAATTCAGGAGGTCCGGTGGACCGGCTCTGGCTCTTCTACATAACGTTACCGAAAGAACCAAGAATAAGAGGCTAGGAGTTTTGGTCGTGGTTACTTATGCCCCCACCAAAGACGAACATCCATGGAGGGATGCACGTAAGGCCATAGAGTCAGACGCCTTCCATGACATCCTGTCACAGGTGCTAGCTAAAGTGGCCCCCGGGACAGAGTCATCTTGTTGGGTGACTTCAATGCCCGAGTTGGTCATGATTCTTGCACCTGATCTGCAGTGATTGGAGGGCATGGGCCAGATCAGCTCAATAACAACGGTAGGAGGCTGCTATATTTTTGTGCAGCCCATGGGCTTGTAATTACAAACACGCTGTTCCGGCATCGGCGCATCCACACAACATCATGGATGCATGCAGGATCCAAGCAAGAACATCTGCTGGACTACATAATGACTGAACAGCGGATACGGGCCCATGTCCTTGACACCAGGACCTACCGTGGAGCTGATCTGCCCACTGACCATCGACCTGTCATCCGTAAGATGCGCCTGCCATTCTTCCACTCCAGTGGTGGGTGTACACCCAGGACCCCATTCAAACCCTTAGTGGCATGGTCTCAGCTAGCTGATGAAATTCGCAGCGAGAATTTAATCATCGCTTGAGGCTGGGGTTGGCATCGTCCCCCACTCCTCCTGATGTCGAGGGGAAATGGGCGAGGTTTAGGACTGTGGCTCAAGCAGCTGCAATGGCTGCTTTGAGTACACGGTCCAGACCCCCAGAGACCTTGGCTAACAGAAGGTTTTCAGGCTGACTGAGAAAAAGCGACAGGCCCACACTCATCGGCTACACCATCTCACGTCAGCCACCGCATGCCTAAACATTTTTGTTCGGCTGGATCGAGGGGACTAAATGGGCGCGGTACCGGCTAGAGAAGAGATTGAGTGATGTGGTACAGGCGGATGTGGAGGTGAGTGGACTTGCCGATGACTGGTACCAGCGGTGTCAGGATAGGCCTCTGTGGAGGAGGCTCGTGAAGGACGCTATTGGGCAGTTGGAGGCAGTTGCCCTCTAACAACAACAGAGAGTGGAGGAGCGACGCTCACAACAACGAGCGGAGCGCCGGGTGACTAAACTACAGCAAGTTGGCACACTAGGGGGCACAGGTGGTGTATCAGCCACTCGTCTCAGTCGACCCGTGGCACCTGGGTCTGCCCCGTGACCTCCTGCCAGCAGGCGTTCGACACTTCACGTGGCCTCAACTAGCAAATAGCCTGGCACAAGCATCGTGGTGACGTCACTGCCACTTAGTGGAAAATGGCGGTTGTTTTTTTGTGTGCATCTGTCTGTGTATATCTGCGTGTATATCTGTGTGGATCTGTGTATATGTATCTGTGTGTGTGTTTGTGTGTGTATCTGTGTGTGTACACGTCTCACGCTATAACTATGTACACAGCATAACCAATGCTAAGTGCACCACTTTTTGCACGCGTGCCACGATATTCATGCAGTTAGCATAGCGCGAAGAAGAGGGGGGAGACACAGAGACACGAGGCTCCCCTCGGAGACACGCGGTGGGAGACTCGGGGTGGGAGACACGGGGTGGAAGACACGGAGAGAGACGGGGGGAAACACGGGGAAAGACACGAGTAGAGACACGGGAAGATACACGGGGAGAGACACATGGTGAGAGACAGGGACACACGGGGAGAGACACAGGAGGAGAAACGGAGGAAGATACGGAGGAAGACACGGAGGGAGACGGGGGGGGGGGGGGGACACGAGGAGATATGGGGAGATACAGAGAACACACGTGGAGTCACAAGAAGACATTCTGACACAGTCTCACACACAGACACAAAACACGAAGAGAGACATTGGGAAACATAGAGATACACACAGATGGAAACCAAAAGCAAAGTTCCCCCGTATAGCCTCTAACAGACTGTTGGGGAAAGTGCTGTTAGCAAGCACCTAAGAAGGCCAGCGCTGTGGCACATGAGGGGGTGGGTGGCTAGCACCACACCAGGCCGTCTTTGTCTCCCCAGTGGCGATGTTTACTACACACCACTGCACCCGCTACTCATTTGAGGCTGCGTCTACCAAGGGGAGGCCCATAACCGGTTGTTCAGATAGTCGTCAATGGTCTTGGTGGCCGTGAAAGGGAATCAAACTCGGGTCTCCGCCAGGTTCATAGTTCAGTGCGCTAACCGTTGTACCACTGCTCCCCACAGATGATGAAAACGCGCACTTAAAGACACATATACGTGGAGACAGACAGAGAGACACACGTGGACACACACACGTGTACACATCACCACGTCACCTGTGCCAGGCTACGTGGACTCCAAGGCCATATGAAGTGTTGAAGGCTCGCTAACAGGTTATGGGACACGGTATACACCCAGGTGGTGCCCATGGGTTGACTGACTGAGATGACTCCGGGAAAAAAACACACAAAGACAAATATCCCCCGTATACCCTCACCAGACAGTTGGGGCAAGTGCTGTTAGCGAGCACCTATGAAGGCCGGCAGATGCTTAGTTTTGTTGGGTCTAATGGTAAAGCCCCACCTCTTAATGGCACATTCAAGGTTCAGCAACAGCACCTCCATCTCCTCCTTCTAGTGTGCAGCAATCACCAGACAATAAGCTTACATGTGGGAACCAGATTACATCCCTGTCGCACCCCATGGTGAATAGGTAATGGCACACCATCATGAAAGCCCTTAATGATTGTGAGCAGAGTCAAGACTCCCAAAGCACACAAAAACAACCAAGAACCCTCGCCTATTGATGGTGTCATAGGCCTTGATCAGGTCAAAAAAGCAGATGTAGGTCATGTTGTAATTCCCTACACCTTTCTTGTAGCAGAAGAACATAGAATACGACACCTGTGCAGAATACCCCTGGCCTTAAACCACATTGGGGCTCCACAAGCCTCTCCTCAGCGTGCCTGGCAAAGTTGAATAATCCTTGTCAGGACCTTTTCTGGCATCGTGAGGAGGGAGATACCCTGTTGTTGTTACAATCTGTGCTGTCCCCCTTCCTACAGAGAGGGACCAACAGGGCATCCTTTCAATACTCTGGAACCTGTCCTGTGGTCCAGGTAGTTGTGGTGTCATATAAGGCAGTCTGTCCACAGACGCCACCCTCTCTCAACATTTCGCTTGGGAGATCGTCTCAGACTCCGGATCGCCCCGCGTATTTTCCTTCACAGATTGCACCTCAGCCAACCATTCGGAAGGGTTGGCTACTTTTGCCAATGTTTGAGGCACCGGAGCCCCAGCAGGGTTGTCCCCCAAGACCTCGTATAAATGCTCAGACAACCTGCAGACCAGTTTTTGGGGGTTGGAGATCGGACCACTGTTATTTGCCTTAAGGGTGATGATAGGTGATGTATTGCAAGTTACCTTTTTGATGGAATGGAAGAGTGATTGATGATTGTGGGCTGCTTAGGCAGATTCCATGCAGCCCTGCACAGCTCTCTAAACCTCCGGGCGAAGGCTGCAGTAAGCTTTCTCCTTCTCCAATGTTGGATGTTGTAGACGACGGTAGTGGGCCTGTCGTTTTCTTTTAACCAGCCAGAACACCTCCTCCTTCAGCAGTGGTCTCTGGGGAGTTCTAGACCACATACCCAATGCAGCAATTATCTGCATGAGCCACAGTCCTGAACCTCACCCATTCCCCTCTGCAAAAGGTGGAGGGGGGGATGATGTTGAAATTCCTACTCGCAACTTTCCTCAGCTAGTTGAGACCAGGCTACTGTGGGTTGGAATGGGGTCCTCGATAGACACCCATCACCGGAGTGGAAGAATGCCAGGTGCATCTTACAGATGACAAGGCGACGGTCAGTGGGCAGATCAGCTCCACGGTCGGTCTTGGTATCAAGGGCATGGGCCCGCATCCACTTGCCCATCACTATATAGTCCAGAAAATGTTATTGGTTAGAACCGGCGTGCATACATGATGTTGTGTGGATGTGCCAATCCCAGAACAGTGTAATTACACGCCATTGGGCCTTCCAATCAATCCGTCCCAGGTGTCCACATCATGACCCACTCAGGAATTAAAGCCACCCAACACGATGACTATCCCAAGGGGTCAATTTAGCTCACAGTTGGGACAAGAGATGTATAAACAGCATCTGACTCATCGGTCTTATCTGCATTCCTCCACTGATGTTCATATTTGGTGGTGGGGTGTAAGCAACCACCAACACTATTCCTCACAACCAACACTTTCACACAAAAAGGTGGATACATACAAAGACGAAAAAAAAGATACCCCGTATAGCCTTAACATACTGTTGGGGCAAGTGCTGGGAGTGAGCACCTATTAAGGTCGGCACAGCACATGAGGGGGTGGGTGGACAGCACCATGCCCGTCCGGCTTTGTCTCCCCAGTAGCGATAATTGCTATCACTGGTGTTGGTGTCCTTGAGCGGGAATCGAACCCGGGTCACCGGGTTAGTATCAGCAGCGCACGAACTGCTGCGCCACTGCTTCTCCACACACAAGTACAGTTGGACACACATGCGCATAGCCGGACACACAGACTGGTGGACACATACACATGGACACATATACACATAGGTGGACACACATTAACACAGGTGGACACACAAAAAACAAAGAGACAAAACAAAGATCCCCGTATAGCCTTAACAGACTGGAGACAAACACAGGTGAATACACACACAGCTGGACACGTACAGATGGACACACATGTACAGGTAGACACACACATATACACTCAGGTGGACACATAGATGGACACACATACGGGTGGACACGCACACAGATCAGTGGACAGGCAGACACACATACAGGTAGACACACATACACACAGGTGGACACACATACACACAGGTGGACATAAGCGGACACACACAACACACACGGCCGCCACGTGGAGCCAGCACGCTGCTGCTGCTGCCGCCGCGGTGGTTAGCAGGGCGATGACGTCACGGCGCTGTACTCAGGGCACTTGAGCATCTCCGCGCCACGCCCGTCGCCCCGCCCCCACGACTCGAGGCCCCTCCCCCACTCGTCCAGACCGCGCCCCTCGCCCCACTCCTCGTCCACGTACACAGGGACGACGGCATCGGCAGCGAGCCCCACCCCACCACGGCCCCCACCCCTACCCACCCCACCACCACCACCGCCTCCACCCCTCCCCCACGCGGAGGCGTCGACCACGTAGCGCTCCCCGCCCCACTCGTCGCCCTTGGCCAATGGGAGCGCGAGGTGCGAAGAGCTGTCGGAGAGGGTGCGCGAGCGAGGGGGCGGCGACGGCGGGTGCAGCATGCGCGCCGATTGGTTGGAGCCGTCCGAGAGGCGGGGCCTGTTGCGGTGGGCCCCGCCCCCCATGCCACCGGCCCCGCCCATCCCCCCACCCATCCCACCCCCCGCCCCGCCTGGACCTCCCCCCGAGTAGCGGCGGGTGAAAAGGTAGACACACAGAACCCCAGCGCCCTGCGAAATATAACAAAATATAACTATTTAAACTAAAATAACAAAATATGTTTTTTTACCATTTGTAAGGTCCACACAGCTATAATGTAAACTATTAAATGTGTTTACTTATTTTTCCAGGTGTAAGGCCCACTGAGCTATACTCCAAAGCAGTGGTTCTTAACCTGTTACTTGCACTCCTTACGTTTCTCAAGCGTAATTTTTTTTATAATGTTAATAAATACATTGGGTTTGATGAAACAAAGTAGTTGTACTTTAGGTGCTCAGAAAGGGCATGCACCCTAGGTTAAGAATCACTGCTGTGAAAGGACCACTGAACTATGCTGTAAACATTTTTTTATTTTACCAGGTGTCAGGACAAGTTTTCAGAATAAATTAAACTATAAACGATTTTTTATGAACCTCATAGAAAAAAATCCTCTATTACAGATAGTATTGGTCGCGACAGCCCTACTACAGAGCACCGTTGTTTGGATGTTTTGTTACTAGCCCATCCCATTGACCTAACCTGCCTCTCCCACTCCTCAACTAGCCCCTCACACTCCTCCGCTCACCCATCCTACTCCCTACCAGCCCCTCCCACTCCCTGCTAGCCCCTCCCAGTCCCCACGAGCCCATCTCACTAGCCCCTCCCACTAGCCCCTCCCACTCCCCACGAGACCATTCCACTCCCCACTAGCCCCTCCCACTCGCTACTAGCCCCTCCCAGTCCCCACGAGCCCATCTCACTAGCCCCTCCCACTCCCCACTAGACCATTCCACTCCCCACTAGCCCATCTCACTAGCCCCTCCCACTAACCCCTCCCACTCCCCACTCGACCATTCCACTCCCCACTAGCCCTTTCTACTCCCCACTAACCCCTTCACCTCCTCCTACTAGCCCCTCCCAGTCCCCACGAGCCCATCTCACTAGCTCCTCCCACTCCCCACTAGACCATTCCACTCCCCACTAGCCCATCTCACTAGCCCCTCCCACTAGCCACTCCCACTCCCCACTAGACCATTCCACTCCCCACTAGACCATTCCACTCCCCTCTAGCACCTTCACCTCCTCCTACTAGCCCCTCCCACTCCCTACTAGCCCCTCCCAGTCCCCACAAGCCGATCTCACTAGCCCCTCCCACTAGCCCCTCCCACTCCCCACTAGCCCCTCCCACTCACCACTAGCCGCTCCCACTCCCCACTAGATCCTCCCACTCCCCAGTAGCATCTCACACACCCCACTAGCTCCTCCCACCCTCTTCTCCCATTCCCCGCCTCCCCTCACCCCCACCCCAGCATCCCCACCTCGCTGAGGAAGAATGATGCTCCAGCGAGGAGGAAGGAGACTCCGTAGCGGTAGTGGAAAGCGAGGGGCGCCGGGCCGGCCCTGGAGCGCACCTCATCATGGACGTCGTTCACGCCCGAGATGTAGAGCACCAGGCCCAGCACTAGCGACAGGCCTGAGGAGGGTAGTGGCGTCAGCATCAGCATCGTCAGTGGTATCGTCAGTTGGATTATCAGTAACATTGTCATTGGGATTATCAGTAACATAATTATAACACTATGTCACGCGATTTTTTGTTCCTGGGTACTAAGTGTTATATATTTTTTTCTTATGCCTAAAAAGTATAGAAAATGGCTATTATTCTCTACAAACTTTGCTTTTGTGACCAGGACTTAATGTAAACCAAAGACACAAATGCACACGTTTTCTCATTCAAAATAGTAAAAAAATTAAATATCAATGTCACGGTCACAAAAGCAAAGTTTGTGGAGAATAATAGCCATTTTCTGTACTTTTGAGGCATAAGTAATTAGGAAATAACACTTACTACCCAGGAACAATTTTTTTTGTTACACAGTATAATCATCAGGAGCATCAGCAATGGCATCGTCAGTAGCATCGTTAGCATGAGCAGCATCGTTATCAGTAGCATCAGCAACATCATCATCAAGAGCATCAGCAATGGCATCGTGAGTGTAAGTGGGTGGAATGCGTGAGTGAATGGGTGGAATGAGTGGGTGAGTGGATTGGTGGGTGAGTGAATGGATGGTTGAGTGAGTGAGTTGTATGACGTGTTGGGAGTGGTGGTGGTTGTGCCACACTTGACGGTATGAAGAGCAACACACCACTGAAAAGCAGAGGTAGCACGCTGGTATCAGTGAGTGAGTGGGTAGGTGAGTGGGTGGGTGAGCGAGTGAGTGGGTGAGCGAGTGAGCGTGTGAGCAAATGAATGAGTCAGTGAGTGGGTCTTTATCTGCGGGTGTTTGTATATATTGGTATTTTTTAGTGTGCGTTAATATAGCGTTTTTTATTGTTTGACGTTTTCGTTTGTTTTAACGTTAAGATTGTTGAACACTTTCATATGTCTTAATGTTTTGATTTTCTCAGTGCTCTGTTTTTGGCGCATTTTTTTTCGACAGCATCCGCGTACAGTGTTGTGTGTTGTTTGTGTCTAGTGTCTGTGCAGTATTAGTATCTAGTGTGTTATTAGTATAGAGTTTCTGTGTATGGTTAGTGTCTGTGTGTTATTAGTGTCTGTGTGTTATTAGTGTAGAAACACCGAAATAAGCTTGTCCTAGAGACCAGGGGGGTAGGCGCTTATGATGCCTTTTCACCAAACTCCATCTGGCAGAGCCAGACTGAACCCCACGCCCCCCTCTCAGGATTCCTCCAGGAACAGGAGAACACTGCGATTGGCCACGAAGAATGTTCGGACTCTCGTCGTGGAGTAGAGGCTGTCACTGAAAGCAAGAACATCTGCTGAACTATATAATTATGGACCAGTGGATGTGGGCCCATGTCCTTGACACCAGGACCTACCCTGGAGCTGATCTGTCCACTGACCATCGACTTGTCATCTAAAAGATACACCTGCCATTCGTCCACTGCGGTGGTGGGTGTCCATCTAGAACCCCATTGAAACCCACAGTGGTTTGGTTTCAGCTGGCTGAGGATAGTTGCAAGCATGAATTTGAACATTGCTTGCAGCTGGGGTTGGCATCGTCCCCACCCTCCTTCTGATGCTGAGGGGAAATGGTTAAGGTTCAGGGTTGGGTATCTTGCAACTGCAACGGCTGCAAGATACCCAGCCCTGGCTGAAGGAGGAGGTATTCCGGCTGATTTAGAGACAAACGACTGGCCCACTCCCATCACCTACAACATACAACATTGGAGAATGAGAAGGCTTCGCTCGGAGATTCGGAACTACAAGGGTGAGTGGTGGGCGTTGTTTACTGAGGAGATGGAATCTGTCTCAGTGGCCCACAATCACAAATCACTATTTAATCCCATCAAAAAGTAACTTGCAGTGCCTCGCTAATCACCATCCTTAAGGGAAATAATTGTAATCCTATCTATGACCCGCAAGAACAGGTCTGCAGGTTTACAGAGCATTTTTGTGAGGGCTTGGGAGAGGGGCATCCCCTCGGCCCAAACAACATCACCTCTGCTAGAGCTGAGGTGCCTCAAATATTGGCAGCAGTAGCCTCCTTCTGAATGGTTGGCTGAGGTGCCATCTGTGGAGGAAGTGCGAGGGGCGATCTGAAGTCTACGGCAAGGAAAGGCACCGGGCAAAGACGATCTCCCAGGTGACATTCTGAGGGTAGCATCTGTGTGCAGACTTGCCTAAATGATATCATCACAACTTTCTGGACCACATTACAGGTTCTGCCATATTGGAAGGATACCCTGGTGGCCCCTTTTTAAGAGGGAGTACTGCACAGAATATAACAACTATAGAGGAATCTCTATTATCAGTGTGCTGGGAAAGGTCCTGCCAAGGATTATTCAACATCGCCTTTCCAGGCACGCTGAGGAGAGGCTTGCGGAGCCCCAATGCGGTTTCAGACCAGGGTGGTCCAGCACGAATGCCATATTCCCTGTCTTCCTGTTACAGCAGAAGTGCAAGAAAATCCTACAAGACCTACATCTCTGCTTTATTGACAAGTTCAAGGCCTATGCTAGCATCAACATGAAAGGGCTGTAGGCAGTTATTAATACTTTCGGAGTCCCTGACTTTCTGCACACAATCTCTGACTCCTGGCTACATTCAGCTACGTTGCCAGAGTCAGAGTAATTTCCTGTTCACCTTGGGGTGCAACAGGGATGTCCTCTGGCTCCCACATTATTTAACATTATATTTAACTACGTAGTTCGAGAAGCTTTCTCTGGCTGTACCGAGGGGATTTCCATCTGGTACAGATACAATGGGAGGCTGATCGATGCCCGGGAGCAGTCGAGGGATGCCTCCCTGTTGGTTAACCACGTTTTGTACGCTGATAATCTGGTGATTGCCGCTCACTCAGAGGAGGAGTTGGAGGTGCTGCTTCTGAACCTGGAGTGTGCCACTAAGAGGTGGGGTCTTACCATCAGCCCCACCAAAACTAAGCACTTGCCATCAAACACACCACCCCCCTCAGCTCCCCATTGGTGGTGAAGCAGTTGTGGAGAGTTACCAATGCATGAGCAGTATGCTTATGACCAGCTCCGGATTGACAGCAGAGGTCTCACTCGAAATCAGTCGGGCAGCATTGTCTTTTCATTGGCTGCGTAATTCTGCATGGCAGCTACCTGTTTTTTTTACTCTGCATAAAGCTTCGGGTCTTCTCGGCCACAGTCATGCCCTCCCTTATCTATGCTTGTGAAACGTGGACCTTTCTAATGGGTCCATCCTGGGTTTAACCATGCTGGATTGTGTGAAAAACTCACAAATCCTTGAAAGATCTAGACACATTCCCACCAGTGAGCACCTACGGCAGGCAAGGCTGCTTTGGCTGGGTCATATAGCATGCATGCCCAGCTACCATATGCCCAAGCAGCTGCTGTTTTGTCGCATAGAGGGGGCTAAACGAACACGACATGGACTGGAGAAGAGATGGACTGATGCGGAATGGAGGATGTGGAGCTGAGTGGACTTGCTGACAACTGGTACCAGAGGTGTAAAGATTGGCCTATATGGATGCGGCTCATGAAGGAGGCTACTTGGCAGTTGGAGGCAGTTGCCCTCCAACAACAAATCAGGGCACAAGAGCAATGCTCACAACAATGAGCGCAACACCGGGCGACTAAAATGCAGCAAGTTGACACAGTAGAGGGTACAGCTGGTGCATCTACCAGTAAACCCTAGTCAGCCAACCCATGGATCCTGAGTCTATCCCGAGACCACCTGTTAGCAAATCTTCGAAGGTTCACGTGGCGTCCAAGTGCACCTGGCCTGGCAAAACCGTCGTGGTGACGTAACCATCACTTAGTGGTGAATGGTGGGTATTTGTATAGGGATTGGTTCAGTGGGTGAGGTAGTGGATGAGTGAGTGAGTGAGTGATAGGACATGCTAGTGGTGGTTGCTGTGCGACACCGGACATTATGAACAGGACACCGCTCAGCAGAGGCAGCACGCGGGTTTGTGTGAGTGGGTGAGTGAGTGAGTAGATTAGTGAGTAGGTGAGTGGATGAGTGAGTGAGTGGGTGAGTGTGTGAGTGGTTTTAGAGCGAGTGAGTTGGTAGTTGGGTGAGTGGGTGAGTAAGTGAGTGAGTGAGTGATGGGGTGAGTGAATGGGTGGATGGGTTGGATGAGGGAGTGAATGGGTGGGTGGGTGGATGAGTGAGTGGTAATCTTGGCTTCTGTGCCACACCTGAGAGTATGAAGAGCACCCCGCTCAATAGAGGCAGCACGCTGGTGTGAGCCCTCACATGGCTCACGGCATTGAGGAGCAGCCCCAAGGACATGAGCAGCAGACTCGCGAGTGGAAAGGGGGTGAAGTTACGCACCATGCCTGTGTAACACAGTGTGTAATGATGTCACAGTGTGTAATGATGTGTCACACAGTGTGTAATGGTGTGTCACACAGTGTGTAATGATGTGTCACACAGTGTGTAATGGTGTCACACAGTGTGTAATGATGGGTCACACAGTGTGTAATGATGTCACACAGTGTGTAATGGTGTGTCACACAGTGTGTAATGATGTCACACAGTGTGTAATGGTGTGTCACACAGTGTGTAATGATGTGTCACACAGTGTGTAATGGTGTGTGTGACACATCATTACACACTGTTACACACTGTGACATCATTACATCACACAGTGTGTAATGGTGTGTCACACAGTGTGTAATGGTGTGTCACACAGTGTGTAATGGTGTGTCACACAGTGTGTAATGGTGTCACACAGTGTGTAATGATGTCACACAATGTGTAATGATGTCACACAGTGTGTAATGGTGTGTCACACAGTGTGTAATGGTGTGTCACACAGTGTGTAATGATGTCACACAGTGTGTAATGATGTCACACAGTGTGTAATGATGTGTCACACAGTGTTTAATGATGTCACAGTGTGTAATGATGCCACACAGTGTGTAATGATGTGTCACACAGTGTGTAATGGTGTGTCACACAGTGTGTAATGATGTGTCACACAGTGTTTAATGATGTCACAGTGTGTAATGATGTCACACAGTGTGTAATGATGTCACACAGTGTGTAATGATGGGTCACACAGTGTGTAATGATGTGTCACACAGTGTTTAATGATGTCACAGTGTGTAATGATGCCACACAGTGTGTAATGATGTGTCACACAGTGTGTAATGGTGTGTCACACAGTGTGTAATGATGTGTCACACAGTGTGTAATGATGCCACACAGTGTGTAATGATGTGTCACACAGTGTGTAATGATGGGTCACACAGTGTGTAATGATGTGTAACACAGTGTGTAATGGTGGGTCACACAGTGTGTAATGATGGGTCACACAGTGTGTAATGATGTGTCACACAGTGTGTAATGATGGGTCACACAGTGAGTAATGATGTCACAGTGTGTAATGATGTCACACAGTGTGTAATGATGGGTCACACAGTGTGTAATGATGTGTCACACAGTGTGTAATGATGTGTCACACAGTGTGTAATGATGTGTCACACAGTGTCACACGATCTATATCACTGTCATCTACTCCCTAAATGACTACTTCACTCTGTAACTCACTCACAGATTTGCTCAGTCAAACACCAGTTTACTCACTCACCCACTCAACCACTCGCTCATCTACTTACGTGCTCACTCGCTCACCCACTCACTCACTCACTCACAAACTCACCCACTCACCTAGTAACCCAGTGACTCATCCACCCACCCATACATACATGCACTCACCCACTCACTCAACCACTTTCTTTCTCATGCACCAACTCACTCAATCACCCACTCACGTACACATCCACTCACCAACTCAATCACCGACTAATCCACCCGCTCATCCACCGATTCACTCACACAATCACCCAACCACTCACTAAAGCATGCACCCACTCACTCATCCACCAACTCATTCATTTATTTACCTACTCACTCATCCATCCAACCACTCGCTCAAACACTCCCCCACTTCCTCATCCACAGACTCACCCATTCACGGACTCACCAAGTTGCTCACCCACTGGCCAGCTCACTCATGCACTCACCCACCAACCCACTGACTCACTCACCCACTCACTCACCGAACTCATCATCTCACTCCCTCACCCACTTGCTCACCCACCCACCTGCTAACTCACGCTCTCACCCACTCACCAACTGACGCTCTCACCCACTCACCAACTCACTCCCTCAAATATTCCCCCGCTAACTCACACTCTCACCCGCTCACTCACCCGCTCACGCATCCACTCATTCACTCACTCCCATACTCACCCACTCACTCACGCATGCACTCTCACCCAATTACTCACTCAATTACTCACTCATCCACCAACTCACTCACCCACTCACTCAGCCACCAACCCCACTCACTCACCCACTCACTCACCCACTCAATCACCCACCCACTCACCCACTCAATCACCCACCCACTTACTTACACAGCCACTCACTCACACGCCCACTCACTCACCCGCCCACTCACTCACCCACCCACTCATTCACCCACCCACTCATTCACCCACCCACTGACTCATTCAACGACTCACTCAATCACTTACCCACATATGCACGCAATCACCCACATATGCACGGACTCACTCACTCATGCACTCACCCACTTTCTCACGCACCCACTCATGCACCTAATCATCAACTCACTCACTCATCCACTCACTAACTCACTCACTCAATAGCTCACTCAATCACCCACCCATGCACTCACCCACTCACCAACCCACTCACTCACTAATCCACCCACTCACACACACACCCACCCACTCACTTTACCAATTTCTCACTCATCCACCAAACTCACCCAGTCACTCACCCACTCAATCACGCACTCACTCACCCAAGCACTTACTCCCTTAACCACCCACCCACTCACTCCTCCACTCACCTACTCACTAACTTACTCATCCACCCACTTACTCACCATCTCACGCATGCACTCACTCACCCACTTACTCATCTACCGGCTCACTCAATCACTCACACAGCCACTCAATCACCCATTCACTCATTCACACACCCACTCCCACTTGCTCACCCACCCGCTCGCTCACCCACGCATTCACCCGCGCACTCAATCACCCACGCACGCAATCACCCATCCACCAACTCAATAACGCACTTACCCACCCACTCACTCATACACTCACGTAGGAAGTTGGCTGTTGCCTCTGATCCCGCGAATTCTGAACTTTCAAATCCCGGGATACTGGAGCAGCGTTTAACACCTGGAAGATACACAAACACATATACACTTATGTGTACACATACACACGTAAACATACACTCGTGTACATACAGATATGTGTATGCACACGTGTACATGCACACACATATACACACTCCCCCGTGGGTGAGTGTATGATTGCATCAGTGAGTGGATAAATGGGTGGGTGGTTGGTTGAGTGTGTGGGTGACTGATTAAGTGAATCGGTGGCTGATTGAGTGAATCGGTGGATGAGTGGTGGGTGGGTGAGTGGTTGATTGAGTGGGTGGGTGTTTTAGTGAGTCGGTGGGTGAGTGGGTGGGTGAGTGGTTGATTGCGTTGGTGGATGAGTCGGTGGATGAGATGCTATGTGGGTGGGTGAGGGAGTGATTGCGTGTATAGGTAGGTGAGTGAGCGAGTTTTCAAGTGTGTGGGCGAGTGAGTGGGTGATTGAGTTGGTGGATGAGTCATTCGGTGGGTGGGTGTGAGTGAGTTGGTGGGTGAGTCGGTGGATGAGTGAATGAGTAGGTGTGTGAGTGAGTAGGTAAGTGTGTGAATGCGTGAGTGGGCGAACGATTGAGTGAAGATTGTGAGTGAGTGAGCGAGCGATTGAGTGAAGATTGTGAGTGAGTGAGCGAGTGATTGAGTGAAGATTGTGAGTGAGTGAGTGAGCGAGCGATTGAGTTTAGATTGTGAGTGAGCGAGCGAGCGATTGAGTGAAGATTGTGAGTGAGTGAGCGAGCGATTGAGTGAAGATTGTGAGTGAGTGAGCGAGCGATTGAGTGAAGATTGTGAGTGAGTGAGCGAGCGATTGAGTTTAGATTGTGAGTGAGCGAGCGATTGAGTTTAGATTGTGAGTGAGTGAGCGAGCCATTGAGTGAAGATTGTGAGTGAGTAAGCGAGCGATTGAGTGAAGATCGTGAGTGAGTGAGTGAGCGATCATCGTTACCCACCCATGTCTGTGCACACTCGCCACAGGCCCGAGTGCAGGGAGACGCGGACGCGACGGGACAGGTTGCGAGCATGCGTCTCCAGCTCCTGGGCATGGAGCCACCAATCCGTGCTCACGGCCAGGAGCAGCGATGCCACGGCGAGCAGAGCGGCGCACGCGCTCAGCAGCGCCAGGGCGCGCGGCCCGCACGCGGACATCTAGCAGCGGAGGGACAGGCTGGCATCACCAACGTACACAAATAGCAGTGGAGAGAGACTGGCATCATCGTAATACACAGCTAGCATTGGCGAGAGACTGTCGTCAGTGTGATACAGAACTAGCAGTGGAGAGAGACTGGAGTTAATGTCAGACGTCACTAGCAGTGAAGAGAGATTGGAGTCAGTGTGAGACAGCTAGCAGTGGGGAGAGACTGGCAGCAGCATAGTCATCATCATCAGCAACATCATCGCCATCCCCGCCATCATCACAATCACCGCCATCACCAATATCATCACCGCCACCATCACCAACATCACCGCCATCACCTTCACTACCACCAATATCATCATCACAACCATCATCATCATCATCACCGCCATCATCACCGTCGCGAACATCATCATGATCACCATCACCGACTGATAGCCAGGTCGCTTCTGAAAAGAGACCTATACAGCATATAGCTACCTGGTAAATCAATCAATACAATTAAAATCATAGCAAGAGTTTAGTTCTTATCGGTCTCTACACGAGAGAATCGCTACGTGAACTCAGTTCATTCGCGAGCTTAAACACAAACCCCACGATCTCGGCAGTAAAAAAGTACATATTTAAGTTACAGGCAGTCCTTAACTTACGACTTACGAACACCCTCACAAACACCACCCACACTTATGAACACCCTCACTTATGAGCACCACCCATACTTACGAACACCACCCACATTTACGAATACCCTCGCTTATGAACACCACCCACACTTACGAACACCCGCACTTACGAACACCACCCACACTTACGAACACCACCCTCACTTACAAACATCGGCATTTATTAACATCCCCCATCACCAATATCATCATGGCCATCATCACCACCACCACCATCACCAACATCTTCACCATCACCGACTGTGATAGCCAGGTCACTTCTGATGAAAGACCTATACACTATATAGGTACCTGGTAAATCAATCAATATAATTAAAATCATAGTCTTTACTTGAACTTAGTTCAATTGTGGAGCTTAAACAGAACTCCATGATCCAGCAGTGCCACTACCTCAGCGCATCTGTAGCAGGTTAGTGCTACACTACGTACTCAGCAGTGACCCGAGTTCGATTCCGGCTCACGGCCATGAACACCGGTGATGATTAGTGGTCCTTGGCCTCGCCTAGGTCGACTCAGCCTCAAATGAGTGCCTGGTGTGGTGTACAATAAACATCGCCACTGGGGGAGACAAAGCCGACTGGGCGTGGTGCTGGCCACCTACCCCCTCGCTATGAACAGCATTTGCCAACAGAGTATGTTGCAGGCTATATGGGGGGTTTACCCAGAAAGGGAAAAACCTATTCTTATTTTGTCATCAGTATGAGGACCAGAAAGAGAATTAAACTTTAAAAACATACACGTTACAGGCAGTCCTCGACTTACAAACACCCGAATTATCAAGACCAGCACTTATAAACATCCTCACTTACGAACACCTGCCATAAGAACAACCGACTTACAAACGCCTCTACTTAGCAACACTCACGAACACTCAACTTACGAACACCCAAAGCCTTAACAGACTTTTGCGGCAAGTTCTGTTCATAGCGAGTAGCAGAGCCTATGAAGGGCGGCACTGCGGCATACGAGTTCAGTGGATGACCAGCACTACCACGCCCGGAACACCCTTGTTTCCCCGGTGGTGATGTTTACACACCACTACACCAGGTACTCAATGGAGGCTGAGTCGATCTAGGGCAAGCCCAGGTGCTGGCTATCACTGCTGTAGGTGGCCGTAAGCAGGAATCAAACTCGGGTGTCTGCCAGGTTCGTAGCACGACCTCTTTCCCCAACTACTGCTGTTTTTCCAGAAGTCCCGTACAGAGACTGAGGTGGACCTGACTCGATCACCCACCCACTCACTCGCTCATCCCTCACCTCCGATTTGCATGGTTTGCTATGTGCAGTGCGAAAGAAATTCAACATGGATACTACCCATAGACTCAACATTACCCATACACTCAACACTACCCATGGACTCAACATTACCCATAGAAGGGAAACAATAAAATTACTTTACCGAAAGAACCAAGGATATTAATTCCTGCAGTCACGATAGCTTTAAATCAAAATTATCCATAGACTCAACACTGCCCAGAGACTCAACACTACCCAGAGACTCAACACTGCCCATAGACTCAACACTGCCCAGAGACTCAACACTACCCAGAGACTCAACACTGCCCATAGACTCAACACTACCCAGAGACTCAACACTACCCAGAGACGCAACAATACCCATAGACTCAACACTGCCCATAGACTCAACACTGCCCATAGACTCAACACTACCCAGAGACTCAACACTGCCCATAGACTCAACACTATCCATAGACTCAACACTACCCATAGGCTCAACACTACCCAGAGACTCAACACTACACAGAGACTCAACAATACCCATAGACTCAACACTGCCCATAGACTCAACACTGCCCATAGACTCAACACTACCCATAGACTCAACACTACCCATAGACCCATAGACTAACCACAGACTTAACACTACCCAGAGACTCAACACTACCCAGAGACTCAACACTACCCAGAGACTCAACACTGCCCAGAGACTCAACACTACCCAGAGACTCAACACTGCCCATAAACTCAACACTGCCCAGAGACTCAACACTACCCATAAACTCAACATTAGCCATAGACTTAATACTAACCCAGCGACTCAACACTACCCATAGACTCAACACTGCCCATAGACTCAACACTACCCAGAGACTCAACACTACCCATAGACCCAACACTACCCATAGACTCAACACTGCCCATAGACTCAACACTGCCCATAGACTCAACACTACCCATATACTCAACACTACCCCGCGACTCAACACTAACCTAGATTTAAAGCTTTCGTGACTGCTAGGATCCATACTCTTTGGTTCTATTGGGTAAAGTCACATAGGTGAAAATACGTGACTTTACCCAATAGAACCAAAGAGTATCAACACTAACCATAACCTCAACACTATCCAGAGACTCAACACTACCCATAGACTCAACACTACCCATAGACCCAACACTACCCACAGACTCAACACTACCCATAGACTGATCACTGCCCATAGACTCAACACTACCCATAGGCTCAACACTGGGTCACATCGCTGCAGACGTAGCAAATCTGAAATCGCTGCAACCCTTAAAAACGCTAAGATGCCGGTTAGCAACCTCAGAAAAGATGAGCGTTTTGAATTTCATGAATTAAAAAAGAGGGATGACATTGTCATCCTCTCAGCCGACAAAGGCAATGCCACTGTCATCATGGATAAAATAGAATATAACAACAAAATTCAAGAATTACTCAACGATGGCAGCTGTACAAAAATAAAGAGATCCCACCAACAGCCTCGTCATACAAACCAACAAAATAATTTCTGATTCAACCGCATTAATTGATCAAACAAAACAGTTCTCGTTGAAACCTTCTGCTGCCAGGCCACCAAGATTATACGGCTTACCAAAAATACATAAAGTAGATACACCCCTTCGTTCCATCGTCTCTACTATAAACTCCCCCACCTACAAACTGGCTCGTTTTCTGTCTGAAATCCTGCGGCCTTTCACTGGAAAAAACACCTCTGTGGTATAAAATTCCACTCACCTGGTATCGACAATCACGGGTATTTCCCTGTCCCCAGACGACCTGCTTGTCAGTTTTGATGTAGTTTCCTTATTCACCAAAGTTCCTGTACCTGACACCATCGCGATCATTGAAGACTTGGTTCATCAAGGACTAAACACTAAGGTACCCCCCCCCTGGTGAGACACTGCTTAACAAATTCATATTTCACTTGGAATGGAACTTTCTACAAACAAACTGAGGGCACCCCAATGGGCCCCCCCTATCTCCGGTTGTAGCCAACATTTTCATGGAGAAATTTGAGAGTGACACCATCCAGACTGCTACTCTGCGCCCAACCTTATGGAAGAGGTACGTGGATGACACTTTTGTCATCTGGCCACATGGCCGGCCTGCTCTAGACCAATTCCTCGACCACATCAATTCCATACACCCAGATATCAGATTTACCATGGAAGTCGAAAAAGATAGCAAGCTACCTTTTTTGGATGTCCTAATAAAAAAGAGACCTGATGGTTCAATGAGCCACTCTGTCTACAGGAAAGCTACCCATAAGGATGCTTATCTGAAATCGGATTCCCAACACCATCCATCACAGAAGAATTATCTCATCAAGACTCTGCACCATAGAGCCCAATGCATATCCGACCAGGAACACATAGCCAGTGAACTCAAGCACGTATACCAAGCTCTTAAGGCTAATGGTTACTCCGACTACACAATCCGCAAAGCTATCACTCCAACCATGAAGAAGGACCCTCTTGAGGAGCATTTCAAAAACATCACTTTACCCTACATTGCGGGGATCACAAAAAAGATATCCAAAATCTTGAATAAACACAAGATCCAGGTCCGATTCAACACATGACATAAAATCCATGATCTGGTTCCGTCTGTAAAAGATGTGATTCCGGACATACAGTACCCTGGCGTCTACAAACTAAGTTGCCTCTGTGGTAGTAGTTACATTGGAGAAACCAAACGACATGTGTCGGAATGCATGCGTGAACACAAAGCAGACCTAAGACACGGTAGGACCAACACCTCGGCCGTGGCAGATCACTGTTATAATTCAGTAGGCTCACATGACATTGACTTCTCCAAGACGGAGGTTCTTTGCAAGCCATCTGGCTACCATGAGAGATTCGTTCATGAGGCTATCCAAATATACAAACACAGAAACAATTTCAACCGAGAAGATGGATTCTGGCTTAGCAATCATTGGAAGGATTTGATAAACCATTTCTGGTCTTAATTGATTGTTCACGCTTACGGTGGCTTTCAGACCGCATCCATTATTTTCGTCTCACCCCTCCTCTTTTCCGAACATAGATGGACTCGTCTATCTGAA